TTTTTTATATCTTTTGGCTGTTTTGAATGATGCCTCTCTGAATATGGGTGTACAAATAATCTGTTCATATACCTACTTTTCTGTTATATCATGTGCATACCCAGAAGTTGAATTTATGGATTATATAGTAATTCTGTGTATACCCCAGTGGCTGTAGCCAGCTAGCAGTGCTCAGTGATTCCCGTTTCTCCACATCTTTGCCAATATTTGTTGTTTTCTGTTTCTGTTGAAAGCCTTTCTAATGGGTGTGAAATGGTATCTCACTGCAGTTTCATGTGCATTTCTGTAATGATTAGTAATATTGTGTATCTTTTATGTGCTTACTGGCAATCTGTATGTCTTCTTCAGAGAAATGTGTGTGTAAGTCTTCTGCCCATTTTATAACTGTGTTATTTTGTTCTTATGTTCTTAAGATTAATTTATGTTTATAACCTATGAATATTAATCTCTTGTGATATGGAACTTAAACATGACATTCTTTTCTGTGCCGTGTGTTGTCTTTTCGCTTCCTTGTAGTGCCTGTGATGTACAACAGTTTTTAATTTTGATGGAGTCCAGTTGTTGTTTTTGTTTGTTTTTTGTTTGTTTGCTTGTTTGTTTTTTCTTTTCTTGCCTGTGTCTTTGGTATCAGGTCCAGGTCTAGTACACTGAAATGTAAATTGTCAGATGCGGTGTCATGAACTTTTACCCCAAGTTTTCTGTTGAGAGTTTTACAGTTATGTCTCAAGTATGTCTTTGATCCATTATTTTTTCTTTGTAGGAGACATTTGGGATACAGTATTTTGTTTTCGTTTTTAAAGTTTTCTTTTTTGGGGGGGTACAGTTGTTACATTAGTTTCAGATGTACAACATGGTGATTAGACAAGTTTAGACACTATGCTGTGCTCACTACAAGTATAGCCACCATCTGTCCCTTTATATCCCTATTACAATATCATGGACGGTACCTTTTTTTCTTGAAACTTACTTATTCCATAATTGGAAACCTGTTACCTCCCACTCCCCTTCACCCATTTTGCCCATCCTCACACCCCTCTGGCAACTATCAGTTTGTTTTCTGTGCTAATAGGTCTAGTTTTGCTTTTTGTTTGTGGTATTTGTCTTTCTCAGTCTACTCATTTCAGTTAGCATTGCACCCTCTAGGTCCAGTTGTGTTGGTGCAGATGACATGATCTCATCCTTTTCTACAGCTGCATAATATTCCATTGTGCATTATACCATGTTTTTCTAACCTACTTCTCTTAGGTTGCTTCTAGTCCCGGCTGATATAAGTAATGCTGCAATAAACTTTGAGACACACAATTTTCAGAATTTATATTTCATTTTCTTTGGGTAAATACCCAGTCATTGAATTACCAGCTCATGTGGGAATTCTGTTTTTAATTTTCTGAGAAACTTCCATCCTAATCACCATAGTGGTTTTGTGCCTCTTGTAGGATTGTTCTTTTTTTGTGCAAAATGCCATTCGAATTTGGATAGAGATTGCATCAATTGGTAGATTGCCTTGGGTAGTATGAACATCTTAAAATGTTAATTCTTCCAGCCCATGAGCATGGAATTGCTTTGCATTTATTTGTATCTTACTCATTTTTCTTCATCAGTGTCTTATAGTTATCAATATAGGTCTTTCATCTTCTTGGTTAAATTTATTTTGAGGTATTTTATTATTTGTGTAATTGTAAAAGGGATTATTCTCCTAATTTCTCTTTCTGATATTCCCATTGTTGCTATAGAGAAAAAAAACACAGTTGATTTCTGCATATTAATTTTATAATCTTTAACTTTACTGAGTCTTGTAGCCATACTAACAATTTCTTGGTTGAGTTGTAAGCGTTTTCAAGATATGTATAATACCATGTCATCTCCATTTACTTTTTTCCTTTCCAATTTGGATTATTTTATTAATATTATTTTCTTGTTGAATTGCTTGGCTAGGATTTTTTTTCCTTCTTTTCAAGATTTTATTTATTTATTTGACAGAGCGAGAGAGCATGACCGGGGAAATAGCAGAGGTAGATGGAGAAGTAGGCTCCCTTCCCGACACAGGACTTGATCCCAGAATCCCTGGATCATGACCTGAAAGCAGGAAGGCAGGCTCTTAACCGACTGAGCCACTGAGGCACCCCATAGCTAAGATTTCTGATACTGTGTTGAATTAAAGTGGACATCTTTGTCCTTTTCCTGATCTTAGATCAGGAAACACTGATTTTTTTTTAATTTTATTTATTCATTTAGAGGGACAAGGAGAATGAGAGAGTATTAGCAGGGAGAGTATCAGCAGGGAGAGGAGCAGAGGGAGATGGACAGAAAGGAACTCCAGTATACTCCATGTTGTGTGCAGAGCCCATCACCGGGTTCCATCTCAAGACCCTGAGATCATGACCCAAGCCAAACTCAAGAGTTGGATGCTTTTACTGAGCTACACAGGTGCCCCCCTCAGCTTTTCCCCATGGACTGTGATGTTAAATGTGGGCTTATCACATATGGCTTTATTGTGATGAGGTGTGTTTCCTCGAAATCCACTTTATCAGAAGTTTTTATCATAAATAGATATTGATTTTTCTGCATGTACTATGATGATCCTACTATTTTATCCTTTATTTTTTGTTGTTGTTGTAGTGTATCATATTGATTGATTTGTGAATATGGAATCCTTGTATCCCTGAAAAATCCCACGTGATCATGGTGTCTGATTATTTTATTGTATTGTTGAGTTTGATTTGCTAATATATTGTTGAAGACTTTTGCATCTGTGCTGCTTAGGGATATTGTTCCATAATTTACTTTCCTGTCATGTCCTTGTCTGGTTTCGCTGGCAGGGTAATGTTGGCCTCATGAAAATGATGAGATCAGAAGTGTTCCCTCCTCTTCAATTTTTTTGGAAGAGACTGAGGGGTGGTGTTGATTCTTTAAGCTTGGTAGAATTCACTAGTAAAGCCCTTGGTTCCTAAACCTTAGTTTGTGGGGAAGTTGTTGATTTCTGAGTTGATTTCTCCTTACTTGCAATTTGAGTGTTCGTATTTTCTGTATTTTCTTAATTCTGCTCATAGGTTATCTGTTTCCAGGAATTCACCCATTTCTTCTAGGTCGTCCAATTTGTTGCTCTGTATTTGTGTGTGACAGGCTCTTATGATCCTTTATATTTCTGTGGTATTTGTTGTTATGTCTACTCCCTCATTTCTGATTTTGAGTCCTACTGTTTTCTTGTTAAGTGTAGCTAAAGGTTTGTCAATTTTTTTATTATTTTTTTCAATCAGCTCTTAGTCACTGATGTTTTCTATTGCCTTTTTAGTCTGTAGTCTTTTTATTTCACCCTAACCTGTGCTGTTTCCTTCCTTCTATTAATTTGGGGCTTTATTTCTTCCCTTTTTTGCAGTTCCTTGAGGTATAAAGTTAGGTGGTTCATTTGGGCTCTGTGTCTTGATGTGGGCATTTATTACTAAGAACTTCGCTGTTAGAAATGTTTTTGCTGCATCCCATTTTGGTATGTTGTTTATCCACTTGAATTTGTCAGAAGATTTTTTTTTTTAATTTCTTTTGATTTCTTCATTGAGCCATTCGTTTTTCAGTATGCGATGTTTATCTCCACAGATTTGTGAATTTCCCTCCTTTTTTCCCCCCTTGTTACTGATTTCTTGTTTCATACCATATTGTTTGAAAATGATCCTTGATATGATTTCAGTCTTCTCTTTGTATGGGGCCTGTCTCTTTGTATGGAGCCTATCATAAGACCTATCCTGGAGAATGTTGCATGTGCACTTGAGAAGAGGGTGCATTCTGCTTTTTGGTGGGATGTCTCCTAGTGTCTGTCTGTTATAACCTTTTTGTTTGTTTGTTTGTTCTTTTATTATTATTATTATTATTGTGTTATGTTATTCTAACCTTTTTAAATCCACAGATTGATAATCTGTTTGGATGATCTTCTTGTCTCAGTGGAATTTGCTCTAAAGTCCATTTTGTTTGAAATAAGTATAGTTACCCCAGTTTTTCTTGGTTTCCATTTTCATGTACTATATTTTCTATCTCATTTCCAGTCCTATGCATTCTTATTGTTGAAGTGATGCTCTTATAGGCAGCGAATAACTAGTTATGTCTTGTTTTTTTAAATCCATTCAGCCACTCTGTGTCTTTTGATAAGCTAATTTAGTCCAGTTACATTTAAAGTAATTGTTTTCCCTGTACTTACTACTGTTTTGTTAATTGTATACTGACTGTTAATGAATTACCAGTTTAAATGTGCTGTACTTACAGACAATAGTATGACTCAAAAGCAAAATTACTCTTTTCCAGCAGGAATTTCAGTGAAATCAAAAGCATTTTTAGTAGCTGTAAACATATTGCCTCCAGGAGTGTTTGTTTGCTTAAGATGTGTTTATTAGAGAGAGAGAGAAAAAGAGAGAGAGAGTAAGCGTGCGCGCGTGAATGAGTTACCTGAGCATGTGGGGAAAGGGGCAGAGGGAGAGAGAATCTCAAGCACACTCCCTGCTGAGCACTGAGCAGGACTAGGCTGGATCCCATGACCCATGAGATTAGACCTGAGCCTAAACCCAGTCAGAGGCTTAACTGACTGAGCCACGCAGGTGCCCCACCTCTAGGAGTGTTCAATAAATCAACATTTGTCAACATTTTTTTCCTCATGAAAGTGTCATTGAAATGTCAGCAAGACTCACATAATTTGCTCTAAGTCTAGAATTGCCTTCTTCTCACTCACGAAGAGCTGCTTATTTTTTCAATAAAGTAGTTTTTGTATGTTCTTGTAGAAAAGCAAAACCACATGACGTGCATTCAAAAGAAGTTTTCCTAAAAGATGTTTTTCTTTTTAATTAAAAAAATGGACATTGAGGTTGATTTTCTTCATTCCCTAAATTATTTGCATACTTTTTTATGTCTCAACTGATTAAGAGAGTACTGGAAAGAGTCCATGGTGGTACTTCCAGTTCTGTCAACTGTAAGTCAGGGGTTCTTCCTTTGTAAATGTATAAAGTTCTTGTTAATTTTAGCTGGAGGAGAGCAGGAATGTTCAGAAGCAAATGAAGATTCTGCAGAAGAAACAAGCCCAGATCGTGAAAGAGAAAGTTCAGTTGCAGAGTGAACATAGCAAAGCTGTCTTGGCAAGGAGCAAACTAGAGTCTCTTTGCAGGGAACTTCAGCGTCACAATAGAACATTAAAGGTTAGTTTTGTTCATTTTTTTGTTTTTCAGGAGATTGTTAGGGTGATTTTATAATCCCTGTGTATATATTTGAAGTAAATCTTTGCTTTACTTGCTGTAGTGGTGCGTGGTTTTAATAATGGTTGCTTGTTCCATAATCCTAGGTACAACTGGTCCGATTGATTAGGTTCCTGAGCAGAGGACATTGTGGGGTCCTCAGGGACATAGTACCTTGCTTACTTGTTTTGTTCATTTTTGCCTGGGTTTGTCCATTATAATGGTTTGTCCATTATAAATCTAATACTCACTCTGTCTATCCAGATGGTGGTTTCAGCTTCGAGGAAGAGCTTTATAGTTTGTAGTATGTGTACCTTATACTTAATCACAGGGAATGTAGGTGGTATTGATGTTTATGGCCATAGCTTTCCTGCTTATTAAGGAAGCTCAAGGTGACCAGATACTATGCTGATCATTAATGTAGTTGGTTATCACATTCTTAGATAAGAAATGAAATGCTTAGCTGAAATGAAGAGACTGGTAGGTATAGACTTGAATCAAAATGAGTTTAAGAAGGAAAAACAGGTTGTATAGAGCTGTACTGTGGATGCTGAGTGGCTAGTGTGCCTGAGTATTTTCTGCCAATCTTGAGCTATTCGGTTGTTTAAATACAAATGTGCGTGTATGTTAAAAAGTGTGTGTATGTGTGCGCGCATGCGCGCGCGTGCGTGTATGTATACATATAGATATAGTCTTATGTCATATAAAATAATCATATAAGTAGGGACTCTTAAGGAATTGGAAGGTGTGACTCAGAAAGTAGGCTGTGAAAGCAAAGCAAATGGGACATCTCTCTTCAGACCGATACAGAATAATATCAGTCATTCTGTCTGTCAAACCAGTAAGGAGAATATTGGGAAAATAATGAGGAAGAATAAGACTGTGGAGAAGGTCTTTACTTGTGCTTTGGGTAGTAAGGTCTGCATAGTCAGCAAATACTTATTTAGTAGCAGGGCAGTTGTTTCTGATTATCTACTTAGGAAATATGTTTGCTTTTAAATGAGAGTTTTCTCATCATAGATAAGGAGAAGGACTTGTAGGTGAGAAACAATACTTGGGGCAGGATTACATGAAATGACATAGCAGTAACATGAGCAGTTTATGTATAAGCTTATACTATACCAGTAACAAATTATTTTGAATAATAAGGAAGAAAATATGCAGCAGGCACAGGAAGAGGAAGAGAATCGTAAAGAAGCAACTGCACGTTTCCAGTTGACTTTAAATGAGATCCAAGCACAGCTGGAACAACATGACATACACAATGCCAAACTCCGCCAGGAAAACACCGAACTGGGAGAGAAACTGAAGAGACTTGTTGAACAGTATGCACTAAGAGAGGAGGTAAACATGTTTTGTGTTTTTAGATAGCGTCTTGTTATTATGAAAAACTTTCCACCTAAAGACTATGGTCACAGGACAATATTTTAAAACTTGTGTACACGTGGTAGTGGTAGTCAGGCATTCATTAGATAATTCATTAGGAAATTATTAGGCAAACTGTGAACTGAAGGACTAATTGGGGATCATCACTGATGACCCAGGGTCTTTGGATTTGGATATGTGCGGTATCTTCTGCAAGACATGTTGAGTGGTATTTGTTATCCATGTGTTACTTGAATATTGTAATTTAAACATATAAATTGTTTTTCCCATATCCAATGTGAGGGTAAATAAATATATATCCCCCAGTATCCAGTATCTCAGACTTCCATGGTAATCCATCATAAAGCTATGATACTAAAATGTATAGTACCATTGCATTCTACCTTCCATACTTTTGGGGAGTAAAAAAGACCCTTTTAACAGAATACCCAATCTTCTTGGTGAATTTACAGGAATGATTAATAGCTGCACAGTTGCAGTTATCTTGCAGACTGTCTGGAAGTACCGTGATATCTAGCTTAAGAGGAAATTGGTGATAACATGCTCGTTAAATTTTGTTACTTTCAGAGTTCAAACGTACAGGGTGAGAGCCTTTGGGTTTTCTAAAGGGTACATTTCTCTGCCTTTATTATGCTTTAAGGGTAGTAAAATGTATGGGGACTGACATAGTAATAATTTTTAAAAAGTCAGTATAATATTTGAAAAAAAGGGGGGGGTAGTAAAATGTGGCATTATGTGTGTTGAACTCCTTACAAAGCAGATTAAAATTAACTAATTTAAAAATATTCTGACCAGTTTAAAAATGGTAAATTTTAAAATGGTGTATTTTATTCCCCAAAACAGCCCCCAAACAAACCTAAAAACAATTTCTATGGCATTTATCCAATTTGACTTCAAATTTTAGATTGTTTTAACTTAATAGTGTTACTTACAGCCTTTAGAAACATATTTAGGATTTTGAGCATTTTCCTAACCATTCTCATTCATCTTTTGACAGCAAATCTATGTTTAAGCATATCCAAGGTGTTATATTACTTCACTCAGCACTATTTGAATGCATATCTTGAAATGGAAAGACTCTCTTGAAGCAGAAACACAATACTATTTTCACACCAAAATATTTAGTCATAATAACTTAATCGACTGCCTTGTCACTACCCACATTTTTCTCTTCCCCAGTCCCCTAAAAAGGAACCCCCTAAGATTGTTTGAATCAGATCCAGACAAGGTTTATACTTTTCATTGGTTATGTCTCAAGTCTGTTTTCAAATACAAGTTTCCATCTCTGTGTTTTCTCTGTGCAGTTTATTTATTGAAGAAACTCCTTTTCAGGCCTACAGAGTGGATGATCTTTTCAGTACATTTATAAAATCCTCATTTTCTTAAAATTTTCTTTCAGGGGTGCCTGGGTGGCTCAGTGGGTTAAAGCCTCTGCCTTCTGCTCAGGTCATGATCCCAGGGTCCTGGGATCCAGCCCCGCTCTCTGCTCAGCAGGGAACCTGCTTCCTCCTCTCTCTCTCTGCCTGCCTCTGCCTACTTGTGATCTCTGTCTGTCAAATAAATAAAATCTTTAAAAAAAATTTTTTTTCTTTCATTTTTTTTGTTGAAACCCATGACTGCCTACTTTGTTATTATAGTGGCATATTTTGAAAGTGTATGTTCAAATCATATTACACATAAGTCTTGTTTTAGGTATTATAGAATTTTCTCTCACCTGCCCCTTTTTTGGCGATGGGGTCAGAATATAATTTAATAATTAAAACAAACTATTTGTAGTCAGAGACAAATCTAGTGCACTCCTTAAAACTTAATTAGATGACTCATTATTAACTAATATTTCTTCCTATCACATAGAATATCGAAACAAAAAGTTGTAATGTTTCTGCATCAGAAAAGGATGTTCTGATGACTTTATTATCTAGAAATACTACTTCACAACCTAGCTTGGGTATAATGCTGACCTGTTCTCAGTTTACTAAGTGTTTTATGTGGTCAGGCACCGAGCACATTAAATATTGATTTTTACAGTAACTTTGGAAAGTACGTGTGTGGTTGTCTCTCAAAGATAAGGGAGCTGAGATTCATCAAGGAACAGGATTTGTCCAAGGCCATCCATTGAGCCAAGATTCAACCGCAGGCCATTCCTACCATTTATCATGGTATTATCTATACTAAGAAATTTGGGAAAATTTAATGAGGAAAGTATCCAGGAATAATGTGTGTGATGAATGGCTTCAGTGGTTTGATCTTCTTAACCAACTGGGTTTTTTTTGGTTGTTGTTACTTTTTGATGGTTGTTATTTGGTTGTTTTAATAGCTTGAACCTGATTTTCAGTGTTGAGCAGAAAACAGGAAATAACAAAGCAATTGATTGGGTTAGACCCCAACAACAAAGATGGTCTCAGGTTGGTAGTCAGAGGAAGTAATTTCTGCAGTTGCAGAGTGGTTTGCAAGTTGGCAATAGTTGCTTCTGCAAATACAAGGGTAGAAAGACCCAGTGTTACTACTTATGGTAGTATGAGCAGGAAGAACAGCAAAGGGAATTATTGTTAACTTGTGTTGTATTCCCTCACCAATGTATACCATTTTTTATTGAGTGACGGAAGAAATTCTTTATTTTCTGTAGCATATTGATAAAGTGTTCAAACATAAGGACCTGCAGCAACAGCTTGTGGATGCCAGGCTTCAGCAAACAACACAGCTCATACAGGAAGCTGATGAAAAACACCAAAGGGAGAAAGAATTTGTAAGTACTGTTTCCTAAAAACATTACCGCACAATTGTAAACAAATCATTTAAAATATGTAACTCTATTCAATATTTTATATAGACCTGGGGATGCAATTTGTTTTTTTGACTGTAAAGATTGAGAAATGTTGGAATACACTCCGCTTTTTATTTCTGATGAAATTTTCTTACAAAAATAGACTTGGAACTATTAGACCAAGTTAGTGGAAATACCTGTAGATGGTGACTTTGTTCATGTGTAGAAAGTTATCTTGGTTTTTGATCATGCAGCATTTTCCCCCCAATAATAATCATATTATTTTGTGTGTCAGTAATTGTGAACATAGTGAAATCTCATGTTTAACATATACAAATCAAACTATATATGTTTAATTTAGTTTAAATAAATTGTAGACTATTCGATCTAGCATTTCACATTTCATTCAAGTAACCTAGATGCCGAAGTAATTATAAGATGGAATGCTCAGTTTCTGAGTCTTCTCAGGATGTGGACAACCCCCTAGTAAATCTGAGTTTAGAGAGATGGATTTTTCAAGGCATGGACACCTTTAATACAATGCAGCAGTGATACAGCAGTACACTGAAGAAACTTACCATTTCCAACCTGGAATATAAAGTGCGTGCGTGTGTGTGTGTGTGTGTGTGTGTGTATACATATATACATATGTATCTAAAGATGCATTCATTACATGTATACTTTCTGGTTGGATTACAAACCTTTCAGGCTTATTTGTAGTATATGTGACATTTTACTTCAGAAATTCAAAGACTGAATTTCACAACTGTCTGCCATACAACTTTACTATATAATTTTCATAAAAACCCAGGTATAAAACTAGACCCTCCTCTTTCCTGCTTTTAAAAATATAACCAGAAACCTGATGTCTATTTTCACTATTTTGCTCTGTGTACCTTTCTGCCTGGCTCATCTTGCCTCTCTCATGGAGTAGAAGGGTTTCTAAACCACCTAGATAACATTAAGATTTTGTGTTTTGTGCTTTGCTTTACACAAGGTTTTGTGTTTTGTGCAGCACTGTTTTAGGCTTCTAAGTGTAAATGCCTGATTTTGTTCACCTAAGCATGATTATTTAACTCTGAGTTTTATAAACCTTATTGTGCTTCCAAGGTACTTTTTCTCCTTAGGCGGTTTAAAGATATTTCCCACATTTACAGTATTAGCAAGTGGTGCAGATCAAAGATAGAAATACATGGCAGTTGCTATAACAGGATTCTTGACCTATGATTCTTGCTAAAATAATGAGAGGGAACAGGAAACCTAAGTATCCAGTCATTTGACATTTTAGCCACATGTATAATTGCTGTTACTATTTTGCCAGAATGTTTCTGTTTTCTAGTTATTAAAAGAAGCAACAGCATCGAGGCACAAATATGAAGAAATGAAACAGCAAGAAGTACAATTAAAACAGCAGGTAACTTGACAACAGAGGATAGTAGAATTTGTGAGTCTTGTTATTCCCAGCCAATGCCAGCTAGAACTGAAAAATAGACCTCTTGGAATGTTCTTCATTAACAGTAACTAAGTCATCGTAAGTTGACTAGAGCTTTTCTCAAATTAGCACTGTGAGTCCTGTGTCTCAAAGAATCCCTTAATCCCAAACTGATCTGAATAGCTGGTGAGCCTATTTTCAGTGTCCTTTTTCTACTGTCCTAGATTATTCTCTCCAGGGTCTTTTGAAAATTTTGTTCTATGAGGAAAATAAAACAGGCAGAAAATACATATCTTGTTTTATGTGTAGTTTTAAAAACCGGCATATGCTCATCAAATTCACTTGCAGGTGAGTGTGTGTATGTGTGTGTACTTTTCTAAGCAGGAATTGAGATTCTTTGTTTACAGTTCAACCTTCTTAAGTGTTGCTTAGTGTGCGATAAAGAAAGCAGATGTGGCATCCTCGCTTCAGGAAAAGATCTCTAAAAGTTTACTAATATCTACCTAATGTTTATAGACAGTAACAATTAGGTATTTATCCATATAATTTATTCTTTTAGTTAACCAAATTATGTTTTGTTGAAAAATTATCACATATTTTAAAACTTTATTAAATGGTGTTTAACATAAGGACTCTCTTAATTCTAAAATATACTCCTGTATTAAGACTGGCACAGATGTTGATCAGCAGCCCTTTTGTGAATACTCTTTATCACTTTGGGAACAGTTTTTAATGTGATATTAGTGATGAAACTAGTAGGCTCACTTAGTGTGAAAATTGAAGAGGAAACAGATATGAGAAGTCTTTTCTTGTTATGAAGCATAAGTTATGACTCTGCTTAGCATGTTTCTAGAAACTTTAAACCTTTGCTTATTAGCCCTGCACACTCAGAAGTCCATATAAAAGGGAAAGAGGATTGATGTGGAGAAGGTGCACATGTGTATACAGCTTTGGAAAATGTTCTTTAAAGTGGTACTGTTGACAGTTTCTTCAGTATCAGTCAGCAAAGGCCTTTGACCAAGCTCCCGGGCAGCTCTGATTCCATTGGGTTGTTCTCATTGCAACTTCTGTTGTCTGTACTTGTGTGTCACCATGGGTCAGCGAGTTATCTGGTCATTACCTTGTATCCTTTGCTGTCACCTCCTTGTGTCCTAGTCCCTAAATATGGCTGTTTTTTCCAAGTCTCAGTCTCACATGTCAGTTTCCAGCATTTGTTGAGTATAGAGTCACAATGGTGTGTGTTGACCATAATGTAGGCATGTAAGTCCAGGTATGATGGGAGTTGCCACTTCCTAACTACCCAGTGTGGCCCAGCACTGAGCTCTCGGATGGGACAGTCTATCTGGGTGTTCCATTTTCAGTACATGCAGACCATGCCCAGACTGTCATAACTTCTAATCTCCCTCAATTATCCAGACTGCTCCCTTTTCTTCCCTGAGTAACACCAGTGCTCCGACTGCAGGCCAGCACCCTCGGAAACCCTGTCACTGTGTGTCCCTCTACAGACTGCTCATAAGGCCTCCACGGTATTTTCCACTTTGCTCCTGTTTCTATTCAACCTGGCCTTCCTTACCTTCCTCTTTCTATGGGAGTGGTTTGGTTATCTTATAGTCATCTTGTCTACCCTGTTACTGGTAACACTCCCTTTTAGTCTGTTTTTCCTTCCCATGTGTGGCAGAACTTGCTTTTAACCAATTGAGCCACCCAGGCGTCCCCAGAACTTGCTTTTAAATGCTGTTTCCCATATGACCCATTCCATGTGATATCTGGGTAGACTGCTTCCATCATATCACATCCTGTCCTTCCCTACCATGTTGATGTGGTTTTGTTTATTAGTTCTCATTAAGCACTGAAGAAAATGAAAAGATACCACTTGTATTATTTCCAGGCCTCTGATTGTGTTTTATTCTTTTCTAAACTTTTTTGGGGCAAAAAACTATATTTCTCTGGTCCTCTTTCCTCATCCTGAACATAATATAATTATATATTATAGTTATGTATAATATGAAACATGTAACATAAATAATAATTATGTAATATTTACATAAAATTAATTATGCTCATATATGGAGATAGTCTCCAAAGGGTTTCCCCTGGTCTACATAAAACAATTCAGCCCATCTTGAAGCCTAGCTCAATACTCACGTCTGTAAGCTTTATGTTCTGGCCACTACAATGCATGTTCCTCCCCTTTGCTGCAACTCTTTTTCTAAGGGGAAGAAAAAAGTGACGCAGCATGCTGTGTTCTCTTTGGGTTGCTCAGTTAGCATTATCTTCCCAGCTATAATTTAAAAATTTCTTGAGGGTGGGCATTAAAGAAAAATGGGCATCTCTACCTTAATTTAACTCTTCTTTTTCTCAGCTCTTCTCTCAGTAAATTCTTTGTCCTTCAACCAGACTATTCTTCAGCTTGTTTTGTTTTCCTGCCTACATTAAGGAAAAATTTAACCTTGGTATCAAGCGAAGAAATATGCAGGCTACTAATATAAAACAAAGATTTTTTTTCCAAGAAGTTTTTCAGATGTGTGTACAGTGGGTTAGTGCATAAAGCATTGTAGTTACAGGGAATTTATAGTTACAGGAAATTTTTAGTTTTCATTATAAGTGGCATAATACAGCTACTAAAGGGTTGAACATTTCAAACATTATAGTTAGGTTAAGTCAACAACATTTCAAAAGTTTTAGAGCATTTCTTCCTCATTGCAGCACTTACAACAAGTAACTAATGTTTCACCATATTATGTTCTTTTGCAAGTCTTCGGGATTCTGAATTGCTTATCTGGAACTCAGAATATTTGCTACTTTTTTTCTGTAGCTTTCTCTTTATATGGATAAGTTTGAAGAATTCCAGAATACCATGGCAAAAAGCAATGAACTCTTTACAACCTTCAGGCAGGAAATGGAAAAGGTATTTACATGATTTTAGTAGAATATTACCACTAAATTTATATGAGGTCATTTTAAGCGTAATTAGTATTTGGATGAGTTTATATTGAACTGATATGATCTTAACGTCATCTTTTCTGATCTTCATCTGGCATTTTGTCCTGAAATTACCCCAAGTTGCTCATGATCTTGATGCTCTCAAAATTCTATCATCACTAATAATAATTCTTTTTTTAAAGGCAACTTATCATTAGAAGTAGATTTTGTTTTTAAAAGAACACTTCAGATGATCTCTACCTGGTTCTTCAATAAAGCTTTAAGTAAATAAAAATCAAGCTCATGGGAAGTTATGGTATTTTTGGTTAAAATAGATTATATCTGAGAATCTAGGTAAGCTGAGTGTATTTTTACTCTTAAATGTGTTCTTTATTTCATATAATATACGGGGACAGACGTCCTTATGAAGCTTACAAATGCTGTTAAAATTCAGTGTAGAAAATTGGTTGTGGTCATTCCAGTTCAGAATGGGGGCTAAGTGGCAATTTTAGGGTACAGTTACCTACCTCTTCCTCCCCCAAAATAAATTAACAGCCACCTTGGTTGGGAGTGTGGACTTTGGAACTGAGTTCTGTTATTTGCATTGTGGAACTTCTGGGGGCGAATGATTTAGCTTGGCATTTCCCCCTTTCAAATTGGGATTTAAAAAGAAATGGTGGTCAAGAGAGGATAAGTAGCAGTAAGGCTGGCATTTTGTAGCCATCCAGTACATATCAGGCATGACTGTTACTAGGTCTTACAAGGTGGTGGGGGACACATGCTCATTAGTCAGATTTCTTGGATTAATAATTTTGGCCGTCACTTACGGTAGACCTTGGACAAGTTGTTTTTAACTTCTCTGTTCCTTCATTGTTAAGAATGGGAATTACAAAAGTATCTACTGTATTTCAATCACTGCTTAGCCATGTTAATTAGAGTATTTCAGATATTTTAACACCCAGTAGTGTGTTGAATTCAACAAGCAGAAGATTGGTTATACCTGTCAGTCCTTTCAGGGAAGTGCTCCGATGGCAGGGAAACTCTGCAGGAGGAAAGTGTTAGCTGGACTCTAGCCCATGAGTGTCACTGATGCAGAGCAGCTCAGGCCAGGGACTCCTTAGTTTGCTGCCATTCTGGCAAACTTGCTGGATTGCAACACATTGCATTCCTCTGTGCTAGCTGCTAGTGCCTGTAAAGATCCCAGTTGGCAGCACTGAACTGAGATCTTAGAGGAGCTCCTCCCACAGCCCTTGTCCTACTCTGCCTCATGGGACTTTTCTGCGTAATTTCCTATGGCCCAGGGCATTGGCTCTGCCTTATCCTAGTTTCCCTTAACAGTGCTTGATACAGTATCTCTACAGGAACAGAGCTGATGTGCAGACCAATAATACTGGAATATTGGAAAGATGGGTAATTGATGGGCAAAGTTGAATCTAATTTTGAATTTTGGAGAATTCAGGCCCTGTAACATTAATTTGAGAAACTCTCTTATTTTACCTCCATTTTATCTTTAATACAATCTTGAAAAAGAATAATCTTGTGAATTGTGAAGATGGTTAAAGCTAAGAATATAATAATTTCAGTATCATTTTCCTTATCACTTGCCTGAATTATCTGGCTTTTACTTCTGATACTGATAGGGCTTTAGATTCTTAAACTCCTTGTGGACTCAGAATATCTGTCTTTCCAAGAATCTGATGAATTAGCTTAGTGTACTATCTCTACAGAAAACTTGAGATCCGGGACACTTTTTGATACAGTTTAGGGAGAAGCTGGTCCCATCTTTTGCTCCCTCTAGCTGGAATAAATGGCACTCCAGTCTTAACTGAAAGAGTTCAGAGTGTGGTGGCATCTGAAGTTCCCATGTGCTGCTTCCTCTGAAATTGAGATCAAGTTTGTTGTTATTCTGGTAATATGAAACTCCTCCTGGCTTGGTTCCTGCTGCTGCCACTGTAAGGGCATCTGCTATATTAGTTCTGCTATAATGAAGCATTGCTGCTTTCAGCAAGACATGCACAGCTATCAGCTGGATGAAGCAAGTGCACTGATGAGGGAGGGGAAGAATAATATAAAATACTTTAGTGGTGGTTCAAGGAATGCACATAGAATTTAAATTTGCAATTGTGTTGATTCACAGATGACAAAGAAAATTAAAAAACTGGAAAAAGAAATGATAATATGGCGTGCCAAATGGGAAAATAATAATAAAGTACTTCTGCAAATGGCTGAAGAGGTGAGAAGTCTTTGCCTGAATGAACAGTGAACATTCACTTATTCAGTAGTAAGGCAGGCTGGAACTTCTAGAGGTTTCCTTATATGATCTCTTGCCTGCAGTAAGTTAGGTTGTCTTAGGTGAAAGTTCGAAATTCTTTCCCCAACCTCCTAGCTCAGGGTTGTGTTATAGATACCTATAAAGTAACTAGATTTTGCTTTCCTCTACAGCAAACCTAGCTTATACAGACTTAACACTTGTTAAACTGGATGCACCCCACCCCCACCCAACCCCCCGCCAATAGCTTATGATTCATTAGATCGGACGTGTGTCCTAAAATTTTGTATTTCTAACAAGTGTCCAGCATATGTTCCTATTGCTGGTTCAGAAGTCCACAACTTGAGAATCCCAACTTTTCCAGGAAGACAACCTTATTCAGATTTCCTATGGACAAAGCACAATCTTTTAACCCAGTTGCTTTTGCATCTTGACTTACTCATTTCCAAAGGCAGCAAAGTTCTTTTTGTAAGGTTTGCTGTAAAGCAAGCTGAAGTATATTCCACTTACAATAAGTAAATTTCTCATGTTCATAAACTGGATAGGAGTAGTTATAATGTCTCATGAGAGAAAATATTAGGGTTAAAAAATGGTGGAAAGGAAGAAACATTGAAGAAATGAGCATTACAAATTAAAATCCTGAATGTTGTTAATACTTAAGTTGATATAGATACTTGAAACCAAGAAGTGGATTTTGATTACTTCAAAGAAGAATGAAAAAAGTGTACTTACCCTTTTACATTGCTACAGAATAGTTTTAAGTATTTTAAATACCAAAACAGAGGGAGGTTCAACAGATGACCAAAAGTTAGTTTATAGTATAAGGACAGATTTCTTAATTTAGTTTTCTTTTGTATGCAATAATAAAATTTCTATTTACATGCAGAATGGTTGCATGAATTCTTTTTTTTTTTCCCCCCATCTCAGAAAGCTGTCCGTGATAAAGAGTACAAGGCCTTTCAGATAAAACTGGAACGGTTGGAGAAGCTGTGTAGAGCTCTCCAAATGGAAAGAAATGAGCTCAGTGAGCAGGTGGAAGTCCTGAAAGAGCAGGTCACTGTAAATGCAGTGAATGTAGATTTAGCTGCACCTCTGATACGGTCCTGCACTGCTCTTGTTTCTCAGGATGAGTTGAAGAGTTCCTCTAGTAAAGCTCCAGGAGTCTATCTGGATGCTGAGCTTGAGGGAGTAAATGAAACAAAACACGGCTCCAAAACCCTCTCTACGTGATCTCTTCTAGACACTGATTCAGTTCACTAACATGAAGTGTGATCACTGTATTGAGTGGTATTTTGTGTATAACTTTTCAGTGTTAGTTACTGTTGGTTTTGTGGTGAATGCTCTTAACTTTTTCTATTATATCTGTATGTTTCAAGAACTATTGGACTGTGTGATACAGGAGGCTGCTAAGCAGTTTTGCATTGTTTTAATGTATACACTTTCCACAGCTGTATTGCACACCTGCCTTACCTTCCCCTTCCCTGGAATACATGTGTTCATTGCCTAATCCTTTCACTTTTTGTATTCATTTGCCTTAATCCTGCCCCTTGTGTGAGTATCACAATTGAAAGTTGTTCCAAGAATGGTTTCCCAATGTGAAAACTAATACTGATTTAAACTCTGTAGCCCACTGATACAAGAAGGAAGGAAGGAAAAAAGAAAGCTTAGTTTTGTCTAGTAGCTCATTTAAATGCCATCTGAAAATAAAGCTCAAGTGTGGGATAAGACCTACGCAAAGCAAATTGGATATAGATTCGGTTATTTAATAATATTTTGGTCACTTACAAATTGAGATGAATGCAAGATTGTGGTTCAATATGTATATGTAGGTGTCATTTGTAAAGAAAATAGCATAAGCAAGTGATTGGACAAACAGGTTTCATGCTTGAGTCACTAAAGATAGTTCTACTGCTTCGGTTTCAGCTTAGAACACATGTTGAAAGGGGCAAAAAAAAAAAAAAATTATCTAGTCCCCTGCCTTTACCATGGCAAAATTTCTGGAATTTGTAATTTTTCTCCTTTCTTTTTTTATTTCAGTGTTCAACAGCTAGTCTTATGTATGTGTTCCTGTCATATTTATGACCTAAAATGGGTTGAAAAGTGAAAATTACCTAATAGGTAAAATAGGCTGGGATGTGAGGTACTTGTAAATGTTCACCACTGACCATGATCATTAAGGAATAGACAGTGAGAGAAAAGAAATTTACATGACATTTGACACTGCTAGTCTGCCAGGATGAGGCAAAACCAGACACCACCCTCCCACAACTTTTTAAAAGCCCCTCCGTCAGGCTCCAAAGACCCACTACTTTGAGGGGGAAACGAAGGTTATGTGTCACAAATATAATTTACCTTAAAAATAATACTAATGATCATATCACAGCAGAACCCTGATGCAAGTAAGGTCTTATCATTTTACTAAGGTAGTTAAGTGCCTCCTGCACTTCTTGGTGGTACTTGTTTTGCGTGGAGGTTAAATCTTGGGCCAGAAGCAATGTGGATCAGAGCATGTGCTCTACCATTTTGTGTTAGATACTGTGTAAAATAATATAAGACATTGACAAGATCTGGATTTTGCTTGGGAAGCATTTGGTTTCCTCTCAGAATTTTTTCCTCTGGTTAGCAAGAAAAAAGGTAGCTTATGACAAGGATTCCCTTCCAAGTAGCTTTGTAGTATGTGCAGTATGGACTATATGCTGGAACAGGAGTTGTCAAACCATCTCTGTATTGGCTAGAGCTGCTTTCATACTACAACTCTTGAGTTGAGAAGGTCTTAAAAATATTTACTAACTGGCCTTTGTTTGTCAGCCTATTTAAAAAACCTTGTGGCTGGCCCAGGAAAAGTTTAAATGTTGCAATCAGTTAAATTATGTTTGTTGTACCATTTTGTGGAACCCTCTAGAGTTGCAAAATCAATAGTGTGAGTAGACTCCAAGGTGTAGAAGAAAACATGGCTGTACAAAAATACGCCATTTCATTTTCATGTGTGTAGAAAATACATTTTGTGGTCGTGAGACCAGTATTTTTAAAATTATATATTAACTGTCTTTTTCACACCTGGTTATCACAGTTCATCTCTCAGGTGTTAACAGAAACATCTACCTCTTTCAAACTGTAACTGAAAATACCCCCCAAAAAGGATGCAGTACTAAATAAACTGCTCTATTTTTTCACTAATATCTTTCATGAAGATAGAGAATTGATGAAACAGCCATATTTTGCTTTTCAAAAACATTTTGTAGAGATTTTTTGCCAATGTGAATCTTATTTTATCTACTCTGTTAAGGTTGAATAAATATGTGATGGCTAATTTAACAGTGTCTGTATATTCTTTATACTGATTGTAACTTCACTTGTGACATTCAAGCTCAAAGATAATTCTTCTTAATACCTGGTTTCTCAGGTCTTAAAACACAGCTAATTAATTATTGCACAGTTAAAAAAAACAAAGGTTGGTGGAGATTACCTTCTGATGTTGGTAAAAACAATTTTATTCCATCAGAGCACTGTAAGGACTCCCCCTCAGCCACATAAAGTAGGGGATGGTAAATAATGTCTGTGGTGTACCCATTAATTTCTCTGGTCCTAGCAGGCCTTACCAAGGGACAGTTGCATATAGAATGTTTTTTGTCTTTTTGTTTAACCAGCTGTTGACAATATATGGTGCAGTTGATCTAATCCTGTACAAGCAAGTGAGTGAGTATTTTTTAGTTGAATACCCTGGGAGAAAACTAATATTTGAGTACCATGCTAAGGTACAGGTTAAAAAATGAAGTCGAGAGTAACATCATGCAAAATGCCAGGAGTCTGGCCCTACACTGTGAAACAACCAGATTTTAAAACTTTATGTCAAAGAAGGTTATCTAATGAGAGCAAAGATAATGTATAATATAGATCATATATCTGATCAGGGTATACTATGCAGGAGATAACGAGAACAACAACAAAAAGACAATTAAAAACTAGGTAGAAGGACTTGGATAGATATTCCCCTTTTTAAGGGTAATCATTAGTTAACCATATGAAATGAAGCTCAACATTTAGTGATATGTGAACCAGTATCATGAGACACCACTTCATATTCAGTAGACCAAATAATACTAGTAAACACTAGGAAAAATAAGGAGAGAATGTGGAGAAATTGGAACTCTTGTACGTTGCCTAGGGGAATGTAAAATAGTGCACATGCTGTGCGAAAGAGTTTGGCTGCTCCTCAAATGGGGAGTGAGTGACATGCCAGGATGGCAACATAGGTATTCTCAGTTTCAACCCCCCCCCACCCCCACCCCAAGAACCACCAATAGCTGTCCATGGGCAAGATGCTACTGACAGAATTGCTAGAATATGCAGGTGAGTCTGGGAACCTCCCTGCACCTCAGGGACTGTGACGGACTGCTTTAAAAGAGCCAGAGGAAAGGCTACATGCTGATCTCATTGTCCCTCCCCCAGGCCAGTGCAGCACCTTGAGGAGAGGTCTCCCTGAACCTACTGTTCCTCCAGTGGGAAGAGAGGACGCAGGGTGGACAACCAGCCCCTTCTCTCTCCCTGCTGCCCACATTGTGGATCACTTTGTTGTAGCCACTACTTTGATCTCACACCATGGAGACTGCAGGGGCGTCTGCAGGGCCCGGCCACTGGGAATCTTGAGGTGATAGAGAAGGGGTAAGGACTCACAGGGATCTTGGCAGACTGGATGCATACCTTCAGTGCCCAAGTTATATTCCCAACTGGTGGCTTTGCTCATCCGCAGAGCCAAAGCAGGAGTGTACTCTGATGAGGGAACTCGGCAGAGGCAGGTCTGTGTGACATGGGTCCTCAAATGAGTTTTGCCAGCCATAAAGCCTGGTTGACCCTGTGCAGTAAGGTTGATGGATCACCACCCCACCCACGGTGGAGACTGCCTTCCAGACCCATCTGAGCTGCAGGGCTGCTGACACTTCCTGGGAGCTGTGTGGCATAGTGGCACTTGAACTCGAAGCTGACAGAACCGATAATTTGCAGAACAAAGTCAGTGGCCCACATCAGCCAGGGAAATTAGGATGCCAGTTGGCTTGACGATAAGTGAAGAGATCTATTGGCTTTAGCACCGCTTCCTCCACTTTGCCTGGGGAGGGAACCTAATTTGTAGTGTCACTCATCGGTGAATACAGACTTCATTCAGTCTGTCCTACGAGGAAACCTAATGACAGTGCATGGGAAGCTATGTAGCCCACTCAACAGGCATCTGCACAGTAGCACTTGAAAAAAGAGCACAGCCTGTGGTCTCCCCCAAATACAGAGCAAACCTGGTGGCCTCTCCTTCCCAGGAAGTTTAGTACATACTCAGGCCTCATTTGGACTCTAGCAATGAGCTGTACAGGACATGGGTCCCCTCCTGCTGCCCTGCCATGTCAGGGCAACTAATGCATCGTCCCACTGGGTATGGTGTCCAGTCCTGGCCAGAGAAGCTTCACCACAGAATCCAGGGAATGCAGAGCCTGTCCTACAGCCTCACTTGTGAATGGAACCAAGCCTCTAGTCCTACCCAACTGTTGTCAGTTAGACACACACCACATTCCAGTCCCCATGCCTATCCCAAAAATACTGTCTGAGAGTTGGCCCCACCTGCCCAAAGACTTCACCCACCAGCAGACATATCCAGAAACCCAAACTGAGCTGATGTGACTAACCGTATCTAGCAAAACAAACCTGTAACATCTGGAACAGGAACCACTTTACTCGAATGCACAGATAACCAATGTAAGGAATCAAATTTCACAAGAAATCAGGTAAACACGATATCAATAAGTTTCAGAGGAAAATAATACAGCTGTAATAACTGACCTTAAAGAAATGGAGATCAGTGAACTCTCAAAGAATTCAGAATAATCCTCTTAAGGAAGGTTAGAGAACTACAAGAAAAAGCAGGCAACTAAATGAAATAAGGAAAAAGTGCAGGAACAAAATGAGAAATTTGTGAAGGAAATAGTAACCACCAAAAAAGCCAACAGAAATCCTGGCATTGAAAAATACAATTGGCCAACCGAAGAATTCAATAGACTTCCAAAATCAGACTCAAACATGCAGAAGAAAGAGTCAGTGACCCGGAAAAATAGACATTTAAAACACTCCCCAGGAAGGGGAGTGAAAAAGAGAAAAGAAAACACGAGAAAGAGTAAAGAAACACTATGGGACTTTTAGGACACAATGAAAAGAAACAGTATTTGCATTGTGAGAATTCAAGAAGAAAAACAGAAACACAAAGGGACAGAGTGTATTTATTTTTTTTTAATTTTATTAATTTTTAAAATTTATTTTCAGTGTTCCAGAATTCATTGTTTATGTACCACACCCAGTGCTCCATGCAATAAATGCCCTCCATAATACCCACCACCAGGCTCACCCAACCTCCCATCCTCTTCCCCTCCAAAACCCTCAGTTTGTTTCTCAGAGAGTATATTTAAAGTGATAATGATGCAAACTTCCTGAGCCTGGTGGGAGAAATGGACATCCAGATGCATGAGGCACAAATAGGGTTACACAGAGTCACAAAAGTCAAAGACAAAAGGAAGGACTTCTGGGAAGTTGGTGGAGTAGGAGGATTCGTAACCCCACCTCATCCCACAGATACAACGAGGTAACACCCACCATCAGGTAAATAACCCAGAAACGGGCTCACAGGACCTTCCATGGGTGGGAGGGACACCTTGGCATTGAAGAGGGAAGAGGACCACGCTCCCACACCCCCAGACATGGGGGACCCTAACTGTGAAGACAAATACCCATAAAGTTTTGCTTTGAAAAACCAGAGGCTTAACTTTATGAATTCTTAAAACCAGCACACCTTAACATCTGGAACTTTAAACATCAGTGGGCTCAGCTCTGGGGAGGTGAGGAAACTGTGCCCCTGATCTTAAAAAGCCAGTCCAACAAACAGCACAGCTCAGATAAGGCATCGAGGCAGCATTTTGAAAAGTACACGGGATATACGGGAAGGAGGTCTGCTTCTTAATCTCAGAGCATATGCTGGAGGGACAAGGATCTTTGGGGGACTCCTCCAAGAATAAAAGAATAAAAAGAATAAAAGAGCTGGAGGGCATCATTTCAGTCTCTTTCCCTGGATGCTCAGACATCGTGCCCAGCACAATCAGTCCACACCTAGCTTGCTAACAGCACACCCTGCCCCCACACTCTCCTGCCTACCTGCACGCTCAAACCTTCCCTGGGCATTCCTCCCACAAAGCAGCTATAGGTTGCCTCCCACAGGAAACCTGTGCACACCTTGCTAACACCATGCGCCCCAGCCCTGCATTCTCCTATAGACTTGCTCCCTTGGCCAGAATCCTACTCCAAAGAGATGCCACAAGTGTGGCATCATGTCAGCAGCCCCTATAGGGACCAGCACCACTCTGGTGTGACCCCTGCCCCAGAAAAAGATAATTACACACATCTGTCAGACCACAGTCCTAGCAGTGGGCTGGGGGCATTGTGCCCCCACCACACTGGAAATGCCACCACCCATGGGAAGTTTGTCAGGGGACATCACAGGGAGAGTGCCTTACAGTTCACTGTGACTGTAACACTGGGAACGCCCTGGCCTGACCTAGCTCAAACCCAAGGCAGCCCCAGACTGTCCCACTACCAACACCATGACCACAGCCTGCCCACAACAGCCAAGAGAGCCATTGTAAATGACTGGAGTGAAGAAGGCAGACACAACTCAACCACAATAGTAGGAGGAACACAACACACATAGGACACACCCCGGAAGTCCCAGGTTCTGGCACATCACACCTCAGGGCCCTACAAGACCTCATCTCCATAAGGTAACTATTTTAAAGAGCAGGAGGTGGAGCTGACTTTCCTAGCCCACAGAAACACACACAGACAGGAAAATGCAGACATAGAGGAATACATCCCAAAAGAAGGAATGAGGCAAAAATCAGTAAGAGAGCTAAGGGAAATAGACATTTGGCACATAAGTAATATGCTTGACAGAAAATTTGAAGTAAAGGTCAAAGACCACTGGATCACTGGCCTGGATCTCAGTGAGACCCTCAACAAAGGGACAGAAAACATTAAAAAGAAAAAAATCTCAGGTGAATAACTCAATAACTGAAAATAAAAAATACACCAGAGGGAGTAAATAGTACACCAGAGGAAGTGGAAGAATGAATCAGTGAGCTAACTGCAAGGCCAAGTAATGGAAAGCAACCAAGCTGAACAGGAGAAAGAGAAGCAGGATAATAAAAATTGAGAATAACTTTGGGGTGCCTGGGTGGTTCACTGAGTTGAGTGTCGACTCTCAGTTTTGGCTCATGTCATGATC